TATATACATATATATATTTCTTATATTTATTTATTTAGGGTTTTTTTTGTTTGTTTTCTAGTTTTTCCTTTGTAGTTTGTTTTATTTTGTTTGACTATATTGAGATGTAATATGTGGATGTTATGTAATTACTATATTACTTTTGTTTCCCTGATACACTCATTATTTCTTATTTGTTCGTCCTTGTTCTGACTCATATTTCAATAAAGTTAAAAAATAAACAGTAAATAAAACAGCACAGGTCCATGTTTATATGTTATGGAAGCCCATTTCCGCCACCCTGATAAAAAATAAATAAAACTTGTATCTCATAATTATGACTTAGCTATCTCAGCTATCTCATAATTATGAGATAGTATCTCAATTATGACTTAGCTATCTCATAATTATGAGACACTTTCTCATAATTACGAGATAGCTAAGTCATAATTATGAGATACTATCCCATAATTATGAGATAGCTAAGTCATAATTGAGATCCTATCTCATAATTATGACTTAGCTATCTCATAATTATGAGAAAGTATCTCATAATTATGAGAAAGTATCTCATAATTATGATTTAATCATAATATGAGATCTCATATGAGATAGCGAAGTCATAATTATGAGATAGCTAGCTAAGTCTAATTATGAGATACAAGTTTTATTTTTTTATCAGTGTGGCAGAAATGGGCTTCCATAAAATGTGCTCCATTAATGGCCTAAATATTAATATTTTCACTCGTGTCTCTGTTATGAAAGAGGATTAGGATCACAGAACAAAAAATTTTTTTTCTTTAAGTTCTGATTTTAGTCTCAGAACTCCGACATTAAAGATAGAATTCTGAATTTTTTCTCAGAATTCTAAAAAAGAAACAAGAAATTCTGACTTTAAGAAATGTTCAGAAAGACAATATTTTTAAACTGTTATCAAAAAATATCTCATTCATAAACAAGTGGACAAATTAATTGATGGATGCACATCTGCAACTTAACTTTTTGAGTCAATCTAATTCAGGATGCCTGGACGGCCACAGTGAACCGTTTTAGCTTTTAGCTACCTTTTTGATTGTTTTAGTTTTTAACTGCTGTTTGGCTAACTTTAGCTTTTATCAAAGGTTTTGTCAAATTTCTCTTTCAGTCACTGCTTTGCATATTTAAGCTTTTAGCTACTGTTCTGTTGGATTTTGCTTTTTGATGTTTTGTTGGTCATTGCTTGTAGCTGATGTTGGGATTGTTTCAGCTTTTTTTGGGAGGGGGGTGGACCTGTGGTGTTTCCTACTCAAGCCACGCCCTCTATCTAGGGGGCACCCCAATTAGGGGATGAAAACAAAATTCATAACTTCTTCTCAGTTGATTTAGTCTGTAGAGTAATCCCTGATCCGGTTTATGAGGTCAGCTTGTTCCATGAGTTTCTCAGCCGCTTTGTTTTTTATGAGGTTTTATAGTGCAGAGGATATTTCATGATAAAAGTGTCAAACGATGCAGTCAAGACTAACTACTGGTGCTCAGTTTGTAAACAGAAAACACAATATGGATAACGTAAGTTTCAGTTGAAGTTGGGGTTAAAGTCTTGTTTTTAGTGTTCTACAAATCCCAGTAATTTAGTAAAATGCTCTTCAAATGTCTGGAAAATGCAGAAATGATAGTAGATCTTTTACAAAATGTTTCAGGGGGGTATACCCCTGGACCCTCCTAGAACTGCTTCAGTCCACAGCTGCTGGCTAACATGAACAGCTGTTCCTCATCGCTGTCAGCGCATGATGTAGACTTCTGGTATTCTGTTTCACCTGAATGGAGTTTACCAGAGTGGGTAAAAAAAGTATTGAACACGTCATCATTTTTCACAGTAAATATATAACTAGAGGTGCTACTTACATGAAATTTTCACCAGTTGTCGGTAACAAAAAGTGATCCATACATACAAAGAAATCAAACCATAAATGTCC